GCCAGGAAGGATATATTATAGTGTCAGAGGAACAAGGTGGAGCTGGACTGGGCTAACTTTGGGGCAGCCTCCCAAACCCTTATAAATAACATCAAAGCATGGCAGGTAAAGTAGTAAGGGAGGGCAACCTGGGGAGCTGAGTGGACATCAAGGGGCATCACAGCCACCCCTGGGCCTGTCATATGTCCATAGTGAGTGTCTTCCAAGAAATCTTTGCACGCAAGCCAAACATCAAAATAGAAAATCCTCCCTATTCTTTCATTTTAGTCTACCAGAAGAACTTCAGTTTCAAATCCTCCTTTTCAATGTTTTTTGTTTTCATAATTGAAGTGAGTCAGTATATATTTGTCACTATATGTATGTTTCCCTAATCTGGCAGACTACTAGATCTGTTCTCGCAGTTCTGTGACGAAGCAACCATCTAAAGATCACTCCCAACTCTAAATGAAATAGTCATTGTGATGCTGTGGCTGTTTTGATTGGTTCCTACCACTGTCCTTGCAGTGGTTGGCTTTGAATAATGTACTTCACTATCACTAACATTATCTAAGTGAGTAAAGGGACTCAGCTGAGCACTAAACTCTGCAGAAGTATCTTAGTATTTTAGTTATTTGGTAATACAGAGACTTTTCTGTAAAGCAACCATTCTGAATTCTTGGGAAAAATTTCTATCAAAGACAACAATGTTATGCGAGTTCAAATTTGTTATGTAAATGATATGTTAATTTCTCTTTACTAGAAATTAAAGTATGTTTTAACCCTGTAAAGAGCTATATTCATTCACTAAGCAGTATGCCACTACAAAGAAAGAACTGAATTTCCTAAGAATGAAAATTCTCTAATGCCTTTAGGAACCAATGCAGTATGCAAGGTATCTCCTTACCCATTTTTCATGTAGAAATGTCTTCTTACTTCCTAAAAGCAAAGTTACTAATACCTTTCTTTTAGAGCAAAACCTGCTTGTAGGTAACAGACCTTAGAGCATAGGGGGGAAGATTATAGAAATCTGTGATTATCAGAACAATATCTGTCCACTGTGGAAAAGAAGAGTGCCTGATGCCCTGAAATGTCTTCTTTTGCAGCTGATTGAGTGAGCCATGGAAAAATAGGTATTTTTAATTACAGCTGCAATGAAGAGAAACTCTAAGGGCACGTCCAGACAAAAGTGCACGTGCTTCTTGCAACGTCTCAAAGACCTTCGAGACGCTGCAAGAGGCATGTGTGGGAACAAAAAAAATGTTCCCCACACTGCAAATTTGCAGCATCAGGGCAAAATTAGACCTCTGGATATCCAGGGGGCAAAAAATACCCCCAGGGAAAAAATTGGGGCAGGGCACAGTCCAGGACCGTGCCCTGAGGTAACCGGAGGCTCAGGTCCTCCACAGAGACACTCTGATAGCCAGCCAGAGTGGCTGGCCCTTGCCCCGGTGCTGAAGCACACTGCCTGCCCATGCAGGGAAGGCAGTGTGCCAGCCACAGGGAGCTGGACCCGGGCTCCATGCCGTTAAGTAGCGGGGCGGGGCTGGGGGGG